TGGTGGAAGCACGATGCGGGACGTGGGGTGGGATCGAAAGTTGGGGAGTTGTTTCTATTATCGAAGTAAGTCGTTTACTCAAATAAAGGTGGGTGGTGAGCGCACGATAGGAGTAAATCGTTTACTCCGACAACGGTAGGAGTGGAATGAAGGGATGTGGGGGTGGGGTGAGCCTAAGCTAATGCATGTTTGGCGCTTGGAATATTAGGAGCGCGACGCTCCTAATATTAGTTCTATACCAAACGGTTCCAAAAAGCGAAAAAATGTGTAGCTATTTTCTGTTTTTTTTCCCGCTTACCGTTAGAGGTGTTTTATTGTCTTTTTCTACAGAGTAAATTCTATCAATTAAATAGCGGTAGTTAGTCATGGAAGAGGCCTAAACCATGTAACTGTTGATCGAAAATGGAGGACGTGGATGAAAGCAATGGCAAACTTTGTCTTTGGCCCCTCAAAGGCAGATGATGTGAACCCTGGTTGGACTACCTTCACTGTGAGCTGAGCGCACAGCGGAGATGTACTGTAGTTAGAGATAGTACAATAAGGGGTGTGTTTAGTTCACATTAAAATTGAAAGTTTGGTTGAAATTAAAACGATGTGATGAAAAAGTTGAAAGTTTGTGTGTGTAGGAAAATTTTGATGTGATGGAAAAGTTGAAAGTTTAAAGAAAAAATTTGGAACTAAACATGGCCTAAGTGAGGTAAATGGGCTCTAGAAATTATCACATTAGATTTGTGATTAGGTAGAAGAGAGAGAAGAAAAGGGGTATAAATTTGTAGATAGTTGTAGTACATGTTTAAAACACCATGTGTATCATAGGTGGGTCAAATATTAATTAATGATGTAATATATATTTATATGAACTATACTATCTAATTGGTTGCAGATGCGTGTCAATATTTAGATCTAGTAGGTGCCTCTTAGGTACCAGCACACAAATCTAACTGGCTTACTATGATTTCCATGTAAAAAAATATAGGGTTTATTATATACGTGCCATTAAAAATTTACCGGTTTTAAAATATGCCACTAGTATTCAGGTATTTGTAACCATGCCATTATAATTTTGCACGTGTTCGAGATATACCACTACTTACCTCTTAGATGCATTTATAATAAATTTTAGACCAAATTGCCCTTCTTCTCCGTTCTTCTTCCTCCCCTTCTTCTCCCTTCTTCCCGCTCGACGGCGATGGTGGAGCAGCACAGCGAGTACGGGCAGGAGAAGCGGGGACGGCGACGCGAGTAGCAGCGGGCGGCGGCAGCGAGGGCGGCGGCGGGAGAGCAAGCTGCAGCATGAGCAGCAGCAGCAGGAGCGACGGGGACGGCGGCAGAGCGAGCAACTGTGGCGGCGCCGGAGCAAGCTGCGGTGCACGGCGGTGGGGACGGCGGCGCGAGCAACTGCGGCATCGGCGGAGCAAGCTGCAGCGTGAGCAACAGCAGGAGGAGCGGCGGGGACGGCGGGGGAGCGAGCAACAGCGAGGGCGGCGGCGGAGCGAGCATCTGCGGCGGCGGCGGAGCAAGCTGCGGTGCGTGGCGGCGGGGACGGCGGCGCGAGCAACTGCGGCGACGGCGGAGCAAGCGGCGCGCGCGGTGGTGGGGACGACGGCGGAGCAAGCAACTACGGTGGCGGAGCAGCAAGCTGTGCGCGCGGCGGCGGGAACGGTGACGGAGCAAGCAGCGGCGGGAACGGCTATGGAGCAAGCTATGCAGTAGAGAAGAGAGAGAGAGGGGTAGAAGATGGGGAAGAGAAAGGTAGAAAATGAGGGCATTTTCGTCCAATACGTGCAAAATACGTATTTCAATGGCACCATTGAGATTACAAATAAGTAGCAGTGATATCGTTACAAATACGTAAATAGTAATGATATATTTCAAAACCGGCAAATTTTTAATGGCAAGGATCTAATTAACCCAAAAATATTTGGGGTGAGTGAACTGTATTGGTTAATTTTGCGTTGTCAAAACGATAGTGTAGGTTATGGGCTTGTTTGGTTTGGTGCCAAATTATGCCCTACCAATTCATTGGTAATTTTGAATAGTGCTTCTATATGTTTGGATTGGTGCTAAATTTTACCAACACCAGTTCTTAGGTAGTACAAAATTTATCCACCCAAATTTGGTAGTGCCAAAAGTTGCCTAAACTTTGGTACTACCAAGATTTTGGTAGGGCACCAAACCAAACTGGCCCTATATCTTCACATATACCTGCTAGCTCAGTATTTGATACTATCACATAAGAAGTGGGATACGGTGTGCAGTGATGCTGTACTGTTGGATTTGGTAGCCAACAAGGATTTTTTATTCTGCTTTGGATGTTGTAATACCTATAAAATTACTTAGTATATGATTTGTCTTATTTTTTTAATTCAGCTGGTTATCTTTTAATGTAGTTGGAAACTTATTCTATTATCTGATATTATTTTTTTTCTTTCTCCATAGTAAAACTTATATATCTCTCAAGAGAGGCCTAGAGATATAGAAAATCTATTATATTACCAAAACAACTTTAAAAGGAGATAACCAATTTACTGTAAGGGTTAAAAATTTACATAATAATCAGAAAAAAAGAAAAAAAAGAAGAGGACTAAAATTTATAAATAACTGAAATTCAAAGTAAAAATAAAATAAATAATGAAATTATAAAACTAAAAAAGATTTCAAGTAGGAATATAATTTAGAGTAACTAAAATTCAGAGTAAAGAAAGTTTTAGTGAAAAAGAAACCATCTTGATTACAACAAGAGATTAATTGAAGTTTGGAATAAAAATAAAATAAATTATGAAATTAGAAAAATGAAAATAAGAGTTGAAGTATGAATATAATTTAGAAATAAGTAAAATTCGAAATTAAAAATAAAATAAATTCAGAAATTAGAAAAAATAAAATTGAAATAGAATTTTGAGAATATTATGAATAAAAAATTGTCAAATTTGAAAAAAAAAGAGTTCGAGAAGAAATATAATTAAAAAAAATTTGGAATTAAAAAATTAAATCTGAAAGAACCGTCTGTTTATAACACAATGGTGGCAAATGACAAAAGAGGGGTGTTGGGGGGGGGAGAGGGTGAGCGGACGAGCCATGAAAGAGTAGGACAACTAAAATGTATAGAAAAAAAGTAAATGATGATTATGATCGAATTTTAGAATTCAAATGACGAAGAAAAGGGGCAACAAGTAGGTTGAGAAGGAGAAATTTGCATATGTGCTATTTTTAAAATCCAGTTTCGCTAGAATGCCATCGTTAAAATGGGATTCGCTACAATGCCACTCTTAAGCTGGGGGTATTCGCTACAATGCCACTTCCGCGCGTTTCTTACATTTGTAAGACAATTTTCATCCAAATATTTTTTCTTGGACATTTTTGCCCCCTAGTTGTGGTTGAACCGAACCACATCTTCTCGCTCATCGATGGTGTCAGAAGCGCTGACGACGATGGTCGCCATCCTCACCGATGACAGCATCCGCAGCATCCTACGCCACCTGGTCCCCGCCGACCTCCTCCACGCCGCACTCGCCTGCCACCGTTGGCGCTACGCCGCGTCGTCCAGGACACTCTTTTGCATCCTCGTCCTCGACCCTGCCTCCTGCCCCCGCGCGCTACTGGTGTGGCCATCAGCACTTTGCCGCCGAAGGACATGGCGACTAGGCTTGGCAGGGAAGCCAGGGGGGAGCGGTGGGTTCAGGGGATAGCGGCCTACGTGCATGGGGGTGGCAGGCTAGGAACACCTGACAGGGAGAGGTGGCGGTGGGGAGAGGTGACACGGTTGAGGAAGGGGGCTGAGGTAGGGAGAGAGTACGGGCGGAGCAGGTGGTGTGTGGTGCCAGCGTGGTCGTGGTCGCCCCCCCCCCCCCCCTCCTCGTCTCTCCTCGCGTGAGATGAATAAGAGCGAGATGAAAAACTTATGGTTCAAGGGTAAAAGTGTCCGAGATAAATTGAATCGGATGAAAAATGATGATTTAGAAATATAAGAAACAACTAGAGTGACATTGTAGAATGCTCACGATTTAAGAGTGGCATTAGAGCAAATCTCATTTTAACCATGACATTCTAACGAAGCTGGCTTTTAAAATGGCAGATATGCAAATTTCTCCCCAGCGATATAATCCTGTGGACCCACCACCCCCACAGCATACTCTCTCCGTCCCAAAAAAAAGGCAAACCTTGGGTTTGCGTGTCCAACTTTGACTATCCGTCTTATATGAATTTTTTTTATAATTCGTATTTTCATTGTTGTTAGATAATAAAACATGATTAATATTTTATGCGTGACTTGTCTTTTTAATTTTTTAAATTTTTTTTCAAATAAAACAGACGGTTAAACGTTGGGCACGGAAACCAGGGTTTGTCTTTTTTTTTTTTTTTTTGGGACGGAGGGAGTACGACGGGCAGGAGACGTTGCCTGGGGACGGGACCCCGACCCCCTGGTACAGTACGGGCATACGTACTGTAAGCAGAGGGCGCTGTCCCCGCTGCCGACGCCGGCGCTGCGCCGAGAGATCGATATTGGAGTACATACTGCCGTACATGCCGGCCGCGCAGACAGCAACGAGGCCGGTGGCGGTTCAATGAACGTCCATATCGCGAGATGGATATCCCCCCAAAAAGACGCCGAGCCGAGCGTAAGATTCCGCTGCCGCTGGCCCGCGCGACAGGCGAGATTCGGAGGCAAAGGGGGTTTCAGCGGCCGGCAAGCGTATCCACGATGCTGCCGTGAACATTCACTCCACATGCCATCATGCCCAGCGCCCGGCACACAGCCAGCTGCCTAGCCAGCGCGCGGCACGCTGCACCTCGCTGTCCTCGATCGCGCACGGCGTGCAGCAGCTAGCGGATCACCCGAAATCTCTACCAGCATCCGCCCGCGCGTGTACGACCCTTCTCTGCCGCCGCCTGCCACGCTATCCCGCCGCGCTCGCTCTGCGCCCTCGTGATACGAGAGTTATAGTACGATGCGGCCGTCCGTGGTGGATAAATAATTCGATCTATGCGTAGTACGTGAGATCCGCTGAGAGATACTCCTATACTCGTATATCGTCGATCATCTGATGCTCCTCTCTGCTGCTGCTCACCGACGACGTACGGTTCTGTACCAACGTACATCACGTATATGGCCGGGAGGGAGTGGGCAGGTGAGCGCGAGATCGAGCGCGATCCCTGTCCCGATTCGACGAATCGGCCGGCCCTGCCTTACACCTGATACAGCGATACGCCTCGATCGTGTAGTATTGATTCATCTTCTCCTTCCGCTATATATATATATGCACACAGTTTCCGTTGCTAGGAAATCAATCACTTGGTCCATATATCACAGCTACGTGTGATCGATTCATCCCTTGTTGAATACTTGTTGTTAACGTTGTTGATCGATGGAGATGAGGGTGCCGGCGGCGGTGACGGGAGGGTGCGGATGCGGTGTCGACGGCGGCGGAGGTTGCTGCCGCGGTGGTGGCAAGCTCGCCGACTGGGAGGAGGGGAAGGATGATGAGATGAAGAGTGTCGTCGTCAAGGGCTGGACGAGGATGGCGCAAGTGGTGCCGCTGCACGACAACGCATCGGCAGAGGACGACGACGACGACGAAGAAGACGATGACGAAGATGATGATGATGATGACGACGAGGACGATGAGGAGGAGGCGGCGCCGCCGTACGTGATGGCCGTCGATGACAGCTCCGTCGACCGCGCCGTCATCACGGCGCTGCTCCGGCGATCCAAGTACCGCGGTAAGCACATACACCCAACACACGTGCCAACAAATTTACAGAGTTACAGGTAGTATTAAGATTTATTTTTACATTTTTCTTTTGTTATACGTGGCAACAACCGTACACTATTCTCATCAGTTTCTCATGGCGCGTTTTAATTTTTGTTGATGCAGTCACTGCCGTAGACAGTGGGAAAAGGGCGCTGGAGATATTGGGCTCGGTATCTTCTGTCATTCTTCTCCATTTTTATTCTTTTATCAGATTATTAAGCCCTAGTTTCTAAAAAAATGTTGATGTGTTTAATCAGGAACCTAATGTGAGCATGATCATCACGGACTACTGGATGCCGGAGATGACCGGGTACGACCTGCTCAAGAAGATCAAGGTAATTAATTAACACAAAACAGAACCACTGCAACCGCATAATCAGTGCCCGAAACAGGGGAAGCAGCACCTACTCCTAACCTTCAATATCCATCAAAATTTACATTTCAAAACTTCAAACTATGAAAGATAAAATTAAATTATGTAAATTATACTAGTTGAATCTTAGACTTGAGAAAATTCTAACTACATCACTGTGCACAATTAATTGGCCTCTAAAAAGGCTCTAATAATATTGATGTGCACACCACATTGCGCGGCCATGTCAAAGCTTCTGAATAACAAAACGAAATCTGCAAGCAGGAATCGTCTGAGCTGAAGCAGATCCCGGTGGTGATAATGTCGTCAGAGAACGTGCCCACAAGGATCAGCAGGTGAGTGAGCCCGTCTCTTCACCGATCAAGCGTGACATGCTTTTTTTAATTCTCTTGCCAAGTGTTACCCTTGACAAAAGAAAGATGCTGTGTTTTTTTTCTCTATTGGTTTCAGATGCTTGGAAGAAGGCGCGGAGGACTTCCTGCTCAAGCCCGTCCGACCGGCGGACATCTCCCGCATAACCAGCCGGATGCTGCAGTGAACTCGACTGACCGGCGTCCGCCGCCGTGTTCGCCGGAGGCGATCTCCGGTGTCGACGGTGGCCATTTTCTCCGTGATGCATTGTAGATGTAGATGATCTTGTAGATGTAGTAAATGCTAGGCGATGAAATGTACTAGTAGACCGACAAGATCTTACTTATGATGGTCTCTTCGGTTTGATCTGATGTTTTGAGTGATCTGTTTTCTTGTAGCTGTAGCTTGTAGGCAGCTTGTGGCAAGCTAATGACATGTGTATTTGTCGAGTGTTCAGGTTGCACGCATGATTTTGTTCTGAAGGTAACTACTAGTACTACAAGTAGTAGTACATTAATTTGCTGACCACTTCTGTTAGACTGCTAGGACTAAGCGGTTTGTGATAGTTTTAGGTGGTGTTTGGATCCATGGACTTAACTTTAGTCCCTGTATTTAGACATTAATTTAGGGCCCCTTTGAATCGCAGGGTAGAAAAAATGGAGGAATAGGAAAAACATAGGATTCTGACAGGAATTGAAGTGTAAAACAGAGGATTGCAAAACACAGGAAAAACATATGAATGATCGTTTGATTGGAGCGCAGGAAAAACGCAGAAATCGGATGAGAGAGATAGACTCAAAGAAAATTTTCCAAGAGGTTGGAGCTCTTGCTAAATTTCCTCCAAAATCCTCATGCAATGTGCCATTCCATAGGAATTTCATAGGATTTGGAAAGCTTCAATCCTTTGAATCAAAGGGCCAAATAGGAAAATTTCCTATAGGATTTGAATCATATGAAATTCCTATATAAATCCTTTGATTCAAAGAGGCCCTTAGAGTATTAAATATAGACTACTTACAAAACTAATTATATAAATGAAAGCTAATTCGCGAGACAAATTTTTTAAGCCTAATTAATCCATAATTAGATAATGTTTATTATAGCATCACATAGGCTAATCATGGATTAATTAGGCTCAATAAATTCGTCTTGCGGATTAGTCTAAAATTATGGATGAGTTTTATAATTAGTGTCCAAACATTCGATGTGATAGGGACTTAAAAGTTTTACCATCTAAACAGGGTCTTACTTATGGAAAGAAAAACTGTCACTAGTACACAGAGGAATTGTGTGTTTAATTGTCTACTTCTGTATTTAATTGTGTGTTTGGAATAGTACATACTTACATACTTCACATTTCTTCCGTTGAAGAAGCAACAAAATTAAAGAAATGAACTATGATGGCCCCCCAGTCCTGAAGCCTCATTAAAAACCTCCAAGCATTGTACTAGACCGCAGCCCCAACTCTGTTTTGGGTTGTTCAACAAAATGCAAGCCACTCAGGGGCAAGATCTGAAGATCCAATATCTCTATCATCGAGATAATCAGCAGACAAGATCTAAAGATCCAATATCTCTGTCATCGAGATAATCAGCAGAATGAATGCTTGCCACTCCGAGGCAGACAGAGCTAACCGAAACACTGAAATTCCATAGTCAGGTTCAGAGATCAGAGACATGGAATCTTTTTCCCCGAAATATGCAAAACGTATCGAATCATAAACACATATGCTTACTCCTCGTCGTGATGACCACCAATTCGACGGCGCGGCGAGCCGGTGGCGGTGGATTCCCCAGCTGGTGATTCATTTCGCTGCTTTGTTCTTCTGTTGCTGTCGAACATTCTGTTATTTTAACAGGGAAATTTTATGCACGAAGCAGTGCGCATCAAGTTTGATGAATTGACTAATCTTGCATTTCTTGTCCAAACAGACATACACAAGGCAGTAGCTAACTTAGATGCATTTCTATTTTTGAGTTTGAGCCACTCTTGCTTGTGTGGTAGCTAACTGGGTGTCTCGAATAGCACATGTAATCTTCTTTGCAATATGCAGCAACACTTGTGAACCTCTCCAGGATTGTCCAATCCTGACGCTCAATTAGCCACCTATCGAGCATTTCAGTGCTGCAATGCAGCTCCAACTCGAGGCCGTCCTCACCGGCTTGCTCACCACTCTCTGCCAGCCTCGAGAGCCACATCGGGATACAGTCCATCGTCTCATCTTCGAGGTACAGCCACTTCAACGCATTTAGATTGTTCACAAACTGCAGTGCAGGGCAGTCAGCTACATAGAGCTCTTTGATCTGATACAGGTCTGAAATGCTCGCGAGAGAGTGGCTTCCGTTGATACGTAGCGAGCCTGAAAGTTCATGAAGGTTCTTGATCTTCTTCAGTGCATGAGCTCCCTGTATGCGCAGCCTCTGCATCTTGGGGGCATGCTTCAGCTGTTCAGGTAGAGCTCTGAGTTTTGAACAGTCCTTCAGTTCAAGTTGATGCAGACAAGGGAATGTCTGAAGAGAAGAACTGTGTGTTGCTTGTGCTATGTGAAATGACCACTCTTCCCAGTTAGGCATCTTCCCAATCCACAAGAACTCAAGGCTGTGTTTAGTTCACGATAAAATTGGAAGTTTGGTTGAAATTGGAACGATGTGACGGAAAAGTTAGAAGTTTATGTGTATAGGAAAGTTTTGATGTGATAGAAAAGTTGGAAGTTTGAAGAAATATTTTGGAACTAAACACGGCGCAAGTTTGGGAAAGGCAGTCGCTCCATGGCCATGAAACTAAGAGCCCACTGCGATTACAGAATTTGCACGCACAATCTTAAGGAAGGTCAGATGTGGCAGCTGACCCAGTGGTGGAAATTTGAGGCAGAACCTGCAATCAATAAGTTTCAACCATGTCACATTGCAGAGAGAAGATGACTCCATCCATGTTGGAAATCTTCGGCAAAAGAATCCTCTGATGAGAAGGTCCTCTAAACAACTTGCAGGAAGTAACTTCTCAAAGATTGCTTCAGTCTTTTTAACCTCTATTTCATCCCATGGGTTATGGTCACCATTTGATTTTAGAGAACATGACAGCTCTAATCTCTTCAGATGTTGTTCGGTAGCAACGATATCTACATTGTCAATTGCTGCCTTTCCCAACTATCAATACGAAGCCATTTTAGGGCCCCTTTGAATAGTAGGGTAGAAAAAACGGAGGAATAGAAAAAACACAGGATTCTGACAGGAATTGAAGTGTAAAACAGAGGATTGCAAAACACAGGAAAAACATAGGAATTGTCGTTTGATTGGAGTGCAGGAAAAACACAGGAATCGGATGAGAGAGATAGACTCAAAGGAAATTTTCCAAGAGGTTGGAGCTCTTACTAAATTTGCTCCAAAATCCACATGCAATGTGCCATTCTATAGGAATTTCATAGGATTTGGAAAGCTTCAATCCTTTGAATCAAAGGGCCAAATAGGAAAATTCCCTATAGGATTTGAATCCTATGAAATTCCTACATAAATCCTTTGATTCAAAGGGGCCCTTAGCCGGGAGAGACTTTCTAGCTCTGTCAAGAACCACCCTTGCTGCATTGTGCTGCTACTAATTGCACTACCCACTATGAACCCTTGCAAACCAGCAAGGGAATGCAGCCCTCCGATGCCACGGGGCACCAAACTTATCGGTGTTTCTTCAATTCCAAGGCGCCGTAAACTTTGAATCCGAGTGAGTGCTCTTGGCAATGCGCAATGCGCACCTCTTAACATTCAGAAACTGCAGATTAGTAAGGTGGCCGATGCTCTCCGGTAGTGCTGGCATGTCAACGTTGTCAAAGCCTAGATATCTCAAGTGCATCATATCCCCAATTGAATCAGGAAGTTTGCCGATGTTACAGTCACTGAGGAACAATGTCCGAAGACCGCAAAACTTTACCACGAGCCTACCATCAACCTTTGGGATGGCCATTAGAAAGAGTCCGGAAACATTTTCGATCACGGGAGATTGCATTGCATGGCACCATTGCCTCTTCTAAGTTCATCAGCGACAGTCGGCGGAGCTTGATAAGGGACGAAGAACAACCGACTGCCTGTAAATTTCCGCAGATGCTTTCCCTCCTTGACAAATGCTGTAAATCTCGGAGCATCCCAACGACGGCGACGACCTCTCCACGGCCGTCGTCGCGCATTATCTTCTCCACCAGCGCCTCCGTCGCGCTCTTGATTTCTTTTCCCACCACGTTGGTTTCCAGCACAGGGGTGCTCGTACGTGTTCGAACCCGGCTGCCGCCGCCACCGCCACCGCGAGAGCCGCCGTCCTCCGCCTTGGAGTCATCGACGGAGAGGCTCAAGAACAGCTTATCCTTGCATATCTCCTCGAATCTGCGGTTCAGGCGAGTAATCTGTGCCCCAATCTCAAGCCGAGCCTGCAGTTTTTGGAGTGACGAGACCAGATTCACCGGCGCCATCGGTGGCCGTGAGCGTGGCCGGCGTTCCGCCAGAAGGCGGTCACCGCGGCACCTGCAGAGGTCGAGCACGTCGTCGGCGTCGTAGACGAAGTCCCTGAGCTCGTCGATCCACGCGCCGGCGGACGCCGCTTCGTCGGCGCCGTCGCCCGCGTCCTCAAGAACGGCACCCACGCGCTCCATCCGCCACTGCATGCTCCGGACGTCGTCCTCCACGCCGAGGCCGGCGGCGCTCCTGTCGGCGATCAGGCCCGCGAGCTTCGAGGCGCACGCGGACACGAAGGCGCTCAGAATCATCGCCATTCCCGTTGACTTCTTGCTCCTCGAAGGAAAACTCCATTGACAGAACAGAATCCCCAACGAGCCCATCGATTTCTTTTTTGGAATAAGTTCACCCTAGGTCCCTTAACTTGTCAACGAATCCGATTTTCATTCTCCAACCGAAAAACTAGATACAACGAGTCCCTCAACTGTCAAAACCAGCACGTATGAGGTCCCTTAGCGGTTTGGATGGTGGTTTTGGCTGATGTGGCGCCTACGTGGCTAATTTGATTCGTTCTTCATTTGACGTGGCGTTTATGCGGCAATTCGATCTAAGAAAAATAATAAACCCGTGGGACCCACATGTCAGTTTCACACATGAATTAATAAAAAATGGTGGGGCCTACGTGGGCCCCACATGTCATTCTCACTCCCCTCCTCTTCTTCCTCCTCTCTCTCCCCATCTCCTCTCTCAGGCGCAACAGAGAGGGCGCAGCGCGCGGCGGCTCTGGCGGGAGAGGAGGGAGCGGCGCACGCCCTCCGCCGCAACCCGCCTCCACCACCGTCGTCATACTCCACCACCTCGACCCCGCCGGCGCCGACATCGCAGTAGACGAGCAATGACACGGGGACGAGACGAAGGAGGACAAGAACGGGAGGCTGGCGGCCTGCATCTCCTTGGCATGCTTCCATGTCCCATCGAGGAGTAGCAGCGTCGGGTTGGCTCGCGCGGGCGGAGGCGTGTATCGGCACCAGGAAAGCGAGGTCGACGGCGTCCGGCGAAGGGAAGAGCAGGAGGACGAGGCTCAAGATGAGGGGGCCGGAGCCCGGAGGAACTAGGAAGGGAGGAGGCGGCGGCCGGGGATGATGAGGAGGTTGGAGAGGAAGCAGGTGAGGAGGGGCCGCTCCCTCCTCTACCGCCGACATCTCCGCGCGCCGCTCCCTCCTCTCCCGCCGACGTGGCGTCGGAGGAGCGCCTCCGTCGCGGGGAGGACGAGCACGAGCACCCGCGCTGACGTGGCTCTTGTGGCTCCTCGCCGCGAACCCGCGCTGCGAGCGGCGCGTGCACGAGGAGGTGTCGCGGCACGCGGACGCTCGCCGCGCCGACGCCGGAGAAGACGGCGACTGCGACGGATACGACGAGCTGAAGCGGATGCACTACCTGCACGGCTGCACGCGACCATCAGCGAGGCGATGCGGCTGTACCTCCTCCTCTGTCCCCCTCTCTCCCAGCTTCTCTCTCTGCCAACGAGAAGAACGAGTTGAAGACAGACGGTCAGTCGGGCAGTCATTGACACCGGCGGCAATGGCGGCGGCCTTGGCGAGCATGGACGACGACAACAACTTGGGTCACTAACATGTGTGTTTTTCGTCTCCGTGCCAAATCTGACATGGTTGCAGTCTTGCAGATGGCCGGCCTCACTGTAGTGAACACGAGCTCATGCATGTCTCGAGCAGCAGCAGCAGCAGCAACTGCTTGTTGGTGCCTGCCACTAATCCTGTTGGCTGTTTAGCTCGATCTGTACACTAATCCTCGCTGTACTGAGCTCGAACTCTGCCTCTCCTCCTCACCGCTGTGCAGCATCTAACATGATGTGGCGGCGCGGGAGTAGGCACCGACCCCGCGGCCTGCCGCCGCCGCCGCCTCTCCGCTTCGTCGGCATGCTCCTGCCGGCTGTGAGGCGGCGCCGCGGCGCGAGGAGATGGCTTGATGAGGAAGAGGGAGAGCTGAGAGGGGAGAGGGAATGACATGTGGGGCCCACGTGGGCCACGCCGTTTTAAAATTATTATTTTTAGCTGACAGGTGGGCCCATGGTTTTTATTATTATTTTAGATATAATTGCTACGTAAGTGCCACGTCAATGCCATGTGGAACGGAGGCCTAGTTAAACCAGCCACGTAGACGTAGACGCCACGTCAGCCAAAACCACCTTCAAAACCGCCGAGAGATCTCATTTGCACCGTTTTTGATAATTTAGGGACCGGTTATATCTGGTTTTGGGGTTAAGGATGAAAATCGGATTTGGCGTAAAATTAAGGGACCTAAGATGAACTTATTCCTTCTTTTTTCTTCTCTCTTTCGAGCCAATCATTTGGGCCGACCGTTCGGCCCATAGGTTACAAACAGGCCGGCCCGTTTGACTTCCTCTATATTGTAGCCGCCGCCACCAGGCTGCTAGGGTTTTCGGCACCGAGCTCGCGCCGCCGCCATCGCACCCACCGAAGGAGGGAGAGGAACCCAAAGCTCGGCGCCATGGTCAGAATCCCCGTGTCTCGTCCTTCTCTCCTCCTACTCTTTGCCCTGTTTAGATTTTGCTTGTTTCTTGCCATTTCTGTAGTTGCCTAGATCGTGCACGATCTTGGGTGTGGGTTCCAGCGGCTCAGTATCGAAAATATGCCAAATTAGGCTGTTTTTGGTTGGCTAGTCTGTGGATGTCATGTTTTCGGCCTGTTTTAAGCAGGGATTTGCTTTGGTGGCTGCATTATCATAGAGTTTGTTGTCTAGGGCTTTTGCATCTCAAATTGTAGCCCATTGGGCGGTGTTTCTGATTCTTCCAGAGAGGAAATGAGCCGTGGTCTCTGTTATTTAGGATTTTCAGTATTTGAGATATTGCTGATCCGCCCTTGCAATAGAGGATGTTTGCTATCGGCATGATGGCTGTTATCGTTTGCGCCTCTTGAGCTTCTGAGCTGAAACCTTAACAGAGAAAGTGGTTTCTGCTTCTCTGTTGGCTGGAAGTATATTTGGAAATTGAATTATGCCGAATTGTATGTTAGTGTGACTAGTTATCAGTGGGTTACCGTGCTACTTTGTAGCATCTTATCTTATACTCCCTCCTTCCCTAAATGTTTGACGCCGTCGACTTTTTTAAACATGTTTGATCGTTCGTCTTATTTAAAAACTTTTGTGAAATATGTAAAACTATATGTATACATAAAAGTATATTTAACAATAAATCAAATGATAGGAAAAGAATTAATAATTACTTAAATTTTTTGAATAAGACGAACGGTCAAACATTTTTAAAAAAATCAACGGCGTCAAATATTTTGGGATGGAGGGAGTACTAGTTAGAATAGGGTTAGAATAGGGTGGTGTCTTTAGTATTGTGTATTTCACTTTAAGTTAGGGTAAGTGAACCAATTTAAGGGTTCTTTTATCCTATTGTACGTTGGCATTAATCTAAAATTTATATAGGTTTCATTATTTTGGTGTTGGACATGTCATATCTGCATGTGTACTAAATCCTTACACTAATGCGATGCCTGACATATTAGTTTTCAGCAATCAGCATCATTCTATTGTCTAACAACACTGTTCTGCTATTATCCAAAAAATAATCCTTTTTAGGAAAATTCTAAAATAATTAGTCCATCTATTCTGGAAAGCTTGTTGATACCAGAAGATATTACCCTGTTATGAGCTATTTTACCTTTTTCCTTTTCTAAAAGACCAGCCTCTGATGACGTATGGTTTCTTATTTTTGTGAATGAACTGGACCTGAACAGTACTGGTTACAGAAATTAGCGTGACATCTTCTATATTTTCTATGTATGTTAAGAGTTCTTGCTTAGACATTTCCTGTTTGGCGTTCTTAAATCACCCTGAATTCACTGGTATAATTTAAGTGCCATCTTGATTTCACAATTGTCCTATTTGTCTTACATATGACCACTTGCTTCTGTTCTTTCCAGTGTGTTGTGTGTACTGACATGCCTGTAGCTTTTTGGTTTTGTAGTTCTCTGTATTTGCATTTCAAATTAGTTAATCTGATATTGCAAATAAGGCATTAGAAAGTGAGCACTATTTATGCTTAATGTCATCTGTATTCTTGTAGTATTGAATATGTTATCACTGTTTTTTAGGTGAACGTGCCAAAAACTAAGAAGACTTACTGTAAGAACAAGGAATGCAGGAAGCACACCCTACACAAGGTTACCCAGTACAAGAAAGGAAAGGATAGCCTTTCTGCTCAGGGGAAGCGTCGTTATGACCGCAAGCAGTCAGGATATGGTGGGCAGACAAAGCCTGTTTTTCACAAGAAGGTTTGACCTTGATTTCTCTATGCCTTGCGAATTTAAAGGATAGCTACTAGCTTGTTTGGTAGTGTTGCTTCTGTGTGTTAATTTACTTACCTCTAATATTTGTTGTCATTCAGGCCAAGACAACAAAGAAGATCGTTCTGAAGCTGCAGTGCCAGAGCTGCAAGCACTACTCTCAGCACCCGATCAAGGTCTTTATCAATGCTTTCAGCTTCTTTTTTTTTTTCCTCCTCATCATGTTATAGCATTCGGTTTTTTAGAAGCATCTGACCCGTCTTGTTGCAATCTGACTTCAGAGGTGCAAGCACTTTGAAATCGGTGGAGACAAGAAGGGCAAGGGAACTTCACTCTTCTAAGATGCTGATATTGCCCTGTTCCCCAATTCTCTGCCAGGAGTTAGCATTAAGAATGTTCTTGTCTTGCCTTTCTAGTACAAGTTATATATCCTCTTGTTTTCAGTCAGGTCTTTTTGATACATAACTACACTACTAGTATGTATGTGATGACAAGTGATTATCGTTGTCACGATCATTTTGATTTTCGGCGTTCCCTTAGGATTGGCTGGAGATGCTGTGTGATTGCAACTTGTGAGTAGTCCAGTCAGCTTCTCTGCCCCATTTCACTGGATCAAAAGGATGAAAACCTGTCATACTGTATTGTTCCAATTCTTGGTTTTTGACTGAGTACGTGTGTACGCGTAGTACTCTTACCTCGCCTAATTGATCGTCATATTAGATGACTGCACGAAGACCAAGGAAAGTCATCATATTGGCCTTACAATCTGAGCAAATCTTTTTTCCTTTTCACAATTTGTCCCAATAAGTTATTAAAGACCAATGAAAATCATCATATTTGCCTTACAATCTTAGCAAACCTTAATTCCTTTTTACAGTTTGTTCCAATAGTTTACCAAGTGATGGGTAGTTGTAATGGTATTGAATAATAGGGCATGTACGATTGAAGTTCTCTCATTCCTATCAATAAACCGGCAAATATCATTGCTAGGCTCTCTTGGCTCTTGGATTAGCAAATACATAATAATGTATATTCTTATGAAGCATAATCATGGTGGTAGGTTACAGTTTACGATAAGAACTGGTCACTCAGGTGCTAATGCTACGATGATTACTCATATCTATCCTATAATTCACTAACTTCATTCATCAAATCCAACGGATGAAAATCATCAAACATTTCCGATTCAATGATAGCAGCGCACGCGGATCACGCAGTGGGAGGGAGATCGCGCGCACGCGTAGTCACCGGGCATAAAATCTTTGTTTCCTTCCACGCCTCCTCTTTTCCTCCGGATATCGCTGCGCCACCATCCGTCCATCCCTTCAGCCGCCAACCGCCCCCTCCGTCCGTGCACCCACCCCTCGCGCCCCTTCCTCCCTCCTGCCGCTCCCCCGCCGACGGCAGCACCTTCACCTGCCCCGCCGCCGGATCGACGGGAGTCGCCGACCTTCCTCCGCCAAACTCCGATCTTGCGGCGTTCACTTTTCCTCCGCAGCCATTGCCCCGTATCCTCCTCCGCTTCATCGCCGCCGCCACCGCCGCCGATGCCGCATCTATAGGACCAGCGTCGTCGTGGGTGGCAGCGGCGGTGGCGCGGGTGAAATCGGAGGTGCGTGGCCGCCGCGGACGAAGCTGGCGATGGCCACCAAGGGGCTCGACAGAGGGGCGGCAGAGGGGATATATCGATGCGCATCCACGTCGGAAGGGTGGAGGCACGTTCAATATCGACACTGGCCATTGTGCCTTTTTTTTTTCCCGCACAATATGCTTGGTGGAATTACCTGGAGGATGATTATTTTTGTTTACTTGAATCATATCATTCACACTCGTTCATGGCTCAAGGACACGTTCTTCTATTTTTCCGTTCTGTCTGATTGTAGCATCTTCTCCATGCTTCCAGATTGGATACTCACGAGCATGTCCAAACAAATATAGTGAGTCATCATTTTCACGGATCATATTTCTGAATTGATATGAGCACTTCCATAATCTGTTTTTAGTATAATAGTTTTCCATTGAAGAAAAACAGAGTTATACGAGCTCATTTTCATCCAAGTTTGTCTGCACTTGTTTTGATGAGGCCAGCTAAATGAAATAACTTATGGTGGGCTTGTTAGATCTCTTTGGCATGCATGCTCTATTTATTGACATAACTTTAGCTACATGTTTTAGATTACAACAATGCGGGATGAATATTTATCATTCCTAGCTTGACAGTTTCTGAATATTTCAGATAGAATGGATGATCCCTGCGTGAAAGCATCAAGTGACATGAGCACTTTCTTTTCTTCAGTTTGGACTGAAACAAGAAGGGAGGTCGATTTTCCTATTGAGGCCTATGCCATGAATATTTCCTACTGGTTCTATACCACCACATATGGAACATAATTTACCTTGTAAGAGTTTTTGTTTCTTCACTTTCTTTAGTTTGCACTATCCTTGTGGTTAACACTTGACAGGTCCTGAGAAGTAGTCAGTAGTATATACTTTAATTTGAGAGCATGGGTAATGGTGTACTTTTATGCATATCCCTGTGCACTCATCACACTGTTTCATGACTGCCAATATGCCATTATGTGTTTCCTATGTTCATCGATTTCTTCTACTCATGACTGCCAATAGTATGTTAATAGGAATAAATAGGTAATTTTAGCAGATTGTATGTCTATCGTACCTCTGTAGATTATTATGAAGAGATAGGTGTAGAGCACTTTCAAGTTTCACCTTTACCCCCAAAGAAGTGAAGGCATTTGAGATTATTAGAAAAACAATGCTCATTTCAGTAGGCAATACCATAACTGACCCTTCTAATTTTGATTGCAGAGTCTGCAAAATGCTAAGTGGCCCTTTTTTGTGTAACTTGAATAGTTATGTTATCTTTTTAATTAATCATCACTCCCTTTTCTCTTGTAAATTCATCCACTATTATTGGGACGGGAACATTTGGATGTGGAGCAATTATTTTCACTGCAGAGATTGTCATGTTTGACAACTCAGCTCCTAAGGTGCTTAATGTTTACTTGTTCTTTTTTTCTAACAAAACTTGTTCGCGTTCCATAGAGAGACACCTATGTGATGGCTGATGAGTGCAGATAACTGATCTACCAGTTGTGGTGCAGGGGTATGGGCAAATATATGTAGTAACAACATATAGATGTGCCTTATTGCAGGTTCCTTCATTGGCAGGTATGCTCACTTATCCAACTCTTGTTTAAATCACTTAATTAGTTAAGATGATACACCAGCATTACTTTTGTTATTTTATAAGATTTTTACTTTTATCCAATAAAGAATTCAGGCCACACTATTTGCACTACAGAAAACAATAAATTTGATCATTTTTAACATGCCTATTTTTCTCCTGCTTGATGTTATATTTGGATGGATGAACACATTCATGCGTATTTTATGTTCATGGGTCATTGATGTGAACCATTTGGGAGGGTTGCCTTTGCACATATTTTTGTGGATAGCTACACTAAGACTGCTGGGTGGCATAATTGGGATTAATCTGAGAATGAACTAACTACTTGCTTCTTTGAGTACAGGTATTGGGCGAATTTGCAGCTTTAATTTGCTTCTATATAAAGGTTATGTTTTATAAAGCAGTGGAAATGGTTTTGATGTTTCGGTTCGGTCTACAATTGGCCGTCGTAAACTGATTGTTTTTTTTCTAATGTTAATGAGATCAATTTGCATAAATTTAATTATAGCCAGTTATGTGTAGCACGCTTTGGTCTGAACTTATGCATTAACTCTGAAGTTCACTTACAATTGTTGGCAAATTTGCTTTTACTAACATGTATGTACAGGATGAAATATAAATGTGGATGGATTACGAAGTTGCACGGATTCCAGTTTGCTTCATTCAGAGAGACCACTTAAAATGTGGATATGGATATGGGGATGGTTAATGAATACCCAGTGACAACCCTAGGTAGGATGAAGGAGAGCGGATTAGTGTTGGTGAGAGGAGGATGACACGGTGGTGTTGGACATATTTATAAACAATTAATATGTAACCAATGTAAGTTGGTTTTCTTATGGTAAGGTTCATCTCTCCAGTCCTACATCATTTTTGCTACGTTACAGTGTATTATTCCTAATGGTATATATTCCAATTGTCTATCAGTATTATGATGGTAGCAGATGCTTGACGAGAGAACTAGGAGAACATGATGGTGGCATATTCAAGAAGATGCTTGACGAGAGAACTGGGAGAACCCAAAGGATCTGGATGAAGTACGTGGCATATTACAAAGAAGATTCATCAGAGTTTTTTTTTTTTTTTTTTTTTTTTTTTTTTTTTTTTGGAAAGAAGACATCATTACGATGGATAAGTTGGCTTGTTTTTTCTATTTATTAAGATAGATAGTGGTTGCTTTGGTAGTGATGATGGTTTTGATGGTGTAGGTTTTCATAAGATGGAAGATATTCATGCTCCATCAGCGTGATGCAATAGTATCGTAGCTAATTTTGTTCTTAACAACGATGTCGATGCCAAGGCTCCAAAACATAATTTATTTAGATTTTTTTTCTTTCTTTTATGGTTTTTGGGATTAATACTTGTGATCTTGTTTGAACATAGAATCAGAAACTTTTTGAAACATATATTGTTACCTTTTGGTTGTTTGCTTTACATTACTTATAACGTAGTAGCGTTGGCACGTGCATATTACTATCTCTTTAAATATTGATGTCATCCATATAAAAAGAAAGTTTCATGTTTCTTGGCCAAGCTATGAATTCAAGGTATGTTCTATCAACATTCTTTCATTACATCGAATTTGTAGGGTGCCTTAGCATACCATCGGCCTTTTGATCTATTGCCTGCCAACGAACTAACTCTGCTTTCTAGGGATTGACAAATTTTCTTGAAACGATCGAGGATAGGGATGCACAAAACCTTCGTTGGACCACCCCTCCAGCTCTCCTTGACATTGTCCAAATTTTGCTTGAAACGATCGAGGATAGGGAGGCACAAAACCTTCGTTGGACCACCCCTCCAGCCCTCCTTCACATTGTCCCTGATTTAGAACTGTTCTTTTGCTTGTATCAATAAACCTTACATATAGGACATGCATATAAGTTGGCGTATTCTTTATAGAACAATATGCAATCGTTTGGATATGCGTGTATTTTGAACCTCTAGTGACAATGGAAATACCACTTGTTTAGCTTCATATGTTGTCTTGGGCAACACATTCTCCTCCAGAAACAAGTCCTTTAACAATTTGTTCATCCATTACTTTATCTCAAGTTTCATAAGATCCAAGAGAACAGATAACCAACCTTATATTCGTTGCAAGCTGGGTCCTCAACACCATATAACATTGTGTTTAGACTATCATTGTCGACATGCACTCGATAACCACCCAACGGGGAAGGGACAAACATATTATCTTCATGTCATTCCTCGTTTTGTTCGTCGCTCGCTTCATCTCCAGTATTCAGCGGCTCTTGTGTAACCATTTGTGCATCCTCGATAGATCAGATGAGTGTGTATTCATGCTCTATCGGCAAACATGTTCTTATTTTTACAATCAACGCATAGACAAGTCATATATTGACTGTTCTCTCTATTTTTTATCTTGCTCTGCAGCATTTAAGAAATCTGCAACACCCATTCTATACTCTAGGCTCACTCGATCACTCCTGTCCTTATGTAAAGTATGAACATTAGCTATATATTTTACGCAATTTTTAATCATGATTTATTTATTATTACCTAGGGAGCTTCTTTTATTATTTTTTTAAATAAAGAGCAAAAATTCGCCCCTCTAGCCCTCTCACCTAAGGTGTGAACAGTACACTGGATTGAAATAACTATTCCACGAAGATCTTAAAGAATTTATACTATGTGCTATCAATAATGGGCCATAAACGGAGACCATCAAAGATCAACCCTCATTCGTGATAGGCTTTATGGTCGTTTTTGTTAGGCTGGTATATCAGGGCCATCACCGATGAGGGTCGTCGGTACGAGATTTGCTTCTGGCCCGTCACCGACAACCTTTGATGGGCCGGAGCCAAACGCTATCACCGATGTGGGTCAAAGGTGATGGGTTCGACCATGAAGCCTCACGTGGGTCTCTCTAGGTGACTATGTGCCGGAGCTTTTTCCAGCACATCTTATGTCAGTGCAATAATACTGTTGAGCATTAATAAGCATCATGTAGCTGAAAGATATGTAAATTTAGACGCTCTTACAGAACCAAGAATCCTAATCGGCCCAACATATGTACGGGATGCTTAATAATGCTCAACAGTATTATTTCGGTAAACAATTTAGTCAGTACTATACTTGTGCTGAATCCAATAGCGTCTAAATTTGCATCTCTTTCAGCTACATGAGCATTCTTATTAGCCATCCAGAAATGCTTCCCATTGGGTGCGCGATCCAGTACAAAAAAAAATTGGACGCCTAGAGAAAGTCTCCAGGCATGCACGCAAGAAGTCCCCAAATATGTGTTCGAAATGATTTTTTTTCCTACACTATATATCCAACCCACGATCCAATGACATCATTGTATTCATTGCAATTAAATATTTCGAATTTTCAATGATTAATATTTTATTCACAACATATAACTCTATGTTTTCAGTGACGGTGAACAACTACTATACTGCTCGATTTTGGGCAGGGATCGGGCGCTCCATCGATCCCTAGTCTTGTTCTTAAGCATCCCGAACTGTTGAATTTGGCCTAACCGTTTTATTAACTAGCCGGGACCCGAGCGTTGCCGCGGGCATAACAAATATATATATTCAATTCTGTGAGGTAAGAGGAGAAGGTTCCCCTGATTCATATTAAGCTTCAAGCTTTCAAAATATTTCCATCAAACTTTATACCGAATAACATCATTGAATACCATCACAAAGTTTCTGGCCATAGTTAATTTACCAAACTTGTAAACGATTACATCATTTGCAACCACAAGCTCTGTAGCACACATATGCCCGTTACGCCATTTACAACCACATACAACCGTGTTGAAGGCTCTGGTCAATCCACCCCAAACCATTTTGTTATCAATTGGCTAGCGGATAAACCAAACAAAGCTATTTTGCGTACAAATTGGTCTTCTAAAAACCATCCATAGATGAGGCTGAAAGTTTCTTAACCAAAGACCACCACCGAAATGGAACTTCTGTTACTTTCGCGTGCACTCGATTGTGATGGATTGACAACTAACTGTAAAATATTAACATAATCTTGACTATCTTGCAAGTGATATTTACATGTATAGTTATGGTATGGAGTAGCCCATAGGCTAACACGCTGTTTAACTAAGGTGCCTTTTTGTTTTGACTTTGAGGAAACCAAATTGACCTAAAATGGTTCGATTGCGGCAATTTGTTTCTAGAAACGGTTGAAATCAATCTGCAAGAGTATAGGAGAATGTTCATATGTAGCTGTAGAAATCCTCTATTTCAAAAGTAGCTCTACAAATCCAATAGAATAGTTGGTAAACAACACGTATTATAAGCTTGCAACTAAATGAGTATATGTAAATTAGAATAATACTATACTCTAGAGCCTGACAAAGGGAACTATTAAGATTGCAGGAATCTAAATGATGAGCCAATAACAATGTTAAGGATCTTTCTGTAAAGTCAACATATGCATTATGACCAATCACTGGATAAACAGCGAGGATACACACATGACATTCATCCTTTTTCAAAATTAATAACTAAGCTATCCCAAAGAAATTAAACAATTGCTAAAATAATTTGAATATAATTTGTGCTCATAATTACAAATGGTGTTACCGCGGATAAATGTGTTCTTTTCTTCGGAGAGAATAACTTGGAAGACTTGTGGTAGTTTACTCCCTTGCTGATAAACATTGGTTACTGAAAGAAAATGCAGAAATGATAGAACAAATTTAATTATTACCTTGATGGTTATTATGAATTGAAGCCTCATGGTGATGAATTGTTCATATGGCCTCATTTGCACATAACTGCAGAGTTTGTACTATGCAAAATGAAGAAATGCCATCAACTTATGTGTATTCACTCAAATGAAGGCCCTCATCATCCCATAAATGCTACAAAAGCATATGCAAAGCTATGGAACCTACAAAAGCAAGGTGTTACACATGCAGTTCAACAAATATATCACTCACTGAAGACCATGAACCTGACAGTCCATACATAGGCTTCGTAATGTAAGCAATCATCGCATCCTACTACAGCAAGCGGTTGCGATCAAGTTGAATTGTGTGCCTTTTGTACTGAACATCAAGATTATTTATGAAATAGTAAATTATCTTCCAGCTTGAATCAACACTTTATTCTTCTCATTTGTATCGCCATGAAGCCAATTAGGAACACTGAAGCAAGTAGCAAAAAACAATCATCTTATGTACACCAAAGCAGTAACTAATTATTCCTATGCATGCACAAATAGAACATGTGCAATTGGACAAGTAGCACAATGATTTTTTATAGGTTTACCTTTCATGGTGCATTGTTTTGTGGCATCCTGCACTAACCATAGGTATATGGTCACATCGTACAATTACATAGGGAAAAAATCAGGCCAATATCTCTTTGTACATGCTATTCTGCTGTGTGTAAAAAAAATGAAAATATGTGCTATAACCACATATGGCTGCTAAACAAATGGAATCCCAGCAAGATATATAAAACTATCATGCATCCCTGAAACAATGGGGAATCATGTATTATGAAAGAAATAGGAAAACCTGACTGTTGTTTGCACTTTAGGCCGATTGTACAGGTAGCAAACATATCAGAAGAAATATTTATGGAAATTAGTAGGAATCATACCTGTATAGAGACCAAAGCAAAGCTAATCTGAGCAGTAAAATACCTACTGCAGAAAGGAACACGTATGCAGATCAACAATATGAGGAAAACAAAATGAACCTAATAAGTATCAGTGCATACAGATTACAGAGTAGTAGAGGATGGCAGTACCAATTGGAGAAGTGTGGAGAAGCCGACAAGCAGCAGCCACAAGAAGCGAGGAGATGGCCGTGGACGAGATGGTTGGTGGCAGTGCTGACCATTGGCTCCACGAGAAGACAACGGTGGCGGTCGGCTCCACAGGGAGGTGGCGCAGAACAGTGGCTCCAAGGGAAGGGAGCGGCACCGCTGGCTCGACGATGACGAAGTGGCACAGGGTCGACGGCAAGTAAGGTGAGAAGGCGACAACGCTGGCTGGCTGGCTTGTCAACATGGTGGCTGTAGCGCTCGCTGCTTGCTCCGCTGCAGCGAGAATTTTTGGGGCGGAGGTGGCGAGGATTTTGGGATGGGGATTGGGGATTTGGGAGTAGCATGGGTGCGGAAATGGGGAATGGGGAGAGAATCTTTCAGAGCCAAACGTGCGGATGGATGGCCGGATGGAAACGAGATGGCGTGATACACGGGGCATGCATACGCTGGTAATGTTACCCTGTAGCAAAGGCTAGCTGCGCTGTGGTTCATCGGTAGTGGGTTACGAATGATATGATGCAGCAGTGCTACCATCACATACTATTTCTCAGGTGATAGATATTCAATGCATAGGATAAGATTCAGTGGACGCCAGAACAAATTTATGAAAACTAATAAACTATGATACTATATTCCCTAAAAAAAACTATGATATTATCATAGTACTTTTCGAGGCATCAAATGTTGATACACTAATTTGTTTTTTTTTCCTAAAACTAATTAAGCATCTGGGGTATTCTTGATGGTCGGCCAAACCTTGACCGAATCTTATCCAAACATTACATATTTATCACGAGAGAGAGAGAGAGAGTAATTGATGGGAGATTTATTTTTAAGAGATTGAAGATGAACCTAAGGATTGAGTCCCAAGAAGGCAATTGTATATATTAATTAGGATGATTTAGTTAACTTTCTTAGAGATATGTTTGGTAAGAGTCCGCCTAAGAGACTTGTTCATATTTTCAATTATAATAAAGATAGAGTTGTGTTCAACAAGACATATTATACATTTCGGGTATAAATATGGCCTGAGACTAGAGATGGCGATGGTTCCCTGTCCTCTGATTCCCCGTGGTGAATCCTCCCATTAGGAGGCGGGGATGGTATAAAATATGTCTCTACGGAGGATTAAATGGAGTAAAAACACCTTCCATCGGGTTTGGCGGGGGCGGGTCTGGTTCACCATTGTAACACCCTGAAAATTCGACCGACAAAACCAAAACTCTAAAAATACGGATTTTCAAAAACTTTTTAAACTAATTGCATCATGCCGATCTTATTCGTCTATTTTATCTGGAGTTGATCTCGAGGATTATTAATCGTGAGTAAAGAATAGTTAATTAGTAATAAACCTTAAAAACAAATTGGTAAAATAAATATAAATTAAAAATAAAGATTAGGCGTGGATAGTAATAAATAAAATATTATCGCGACCATATTTGGATCAATTAAATTTCATTGCGATGGAATAAGAATTAACCCTAATTAAAGCTCAAATAAATTATATAAAAATAAAATATGAGTAATATTAATCTAGGGTGAATTCATTAGTTAAGATAACACGAATATTGAGTAAAATGCATATATGTAAAATTAGGAATTGTGGAATCAAATTTATATGGGAAATACTCTAAAATCGGTTTAATGGAAAAATGGCACTGTTCATCGGCTGCCACGTGCTCGACCGTGTCCCCTAGCCTAGCCCCTCCTCTGCCGCACCTGCCTGCCATCCCCCGAGCCCGTCCATCGCGTCGCCGCTGCCGCGCCGAGCGCCATCGCCGTCGCCATCATCGCCGTCGGCCTCGCGCCCCGTGCCGCCGCCTCGAGCCCCGTGCCGCCGCCTTGCGCCCCGCGCCGCCGCTGCCACGCTGTCGCCGCGCCGCACGCCCGCCTGCCGCCGTGCAACCGTCCCGTCGCCGCACCGCGCGCCCGTCCCGTCGCGCCGCTGTCCCGCCGCCCCGCGCGCCCTCGCGCCCGTCACCGACCGTCCCGTCGCCGCGCCGCGCGCCCGTCGTGTCGCCGCTGCCGCCCCATCCCGTCGCCTCGCGCCCCGCGCGCCGCCTCGCGCCTCGCGCTCCGCGCGCTGCTCGCCCATCGCGTCGCCGCCTCGCGTCCCGCGCCGCTGCCGCGCCGCGTTATCGTCGCGTCGCCGTCGCCGTCACACCTAGCCGCGCCGAGCCCCGCGCGCCGCCCCGAGCCCCGCCGCCCCTCCCCTCTCCTTCTCCCTCTCTTCCCTATAAATATTCCCCCTCCCCCATTCTCTCCACTCCATCTCCCCCTTCCTCTCCCCTCTTCCCTCTCCACTGCGCCGCCGTTCCCGTGCCGCTGAGCCGCCGTTCCCGTGCCGCCGCGCTGCCGTTCCCGCGCCGCCGTGCCGTCGCTCCTGTGCCACTGTGCCGCCGCTTCTGTGCCGCCGTACGCCACCGTTGCCTTCGGGCCGGCCGTGCCTAGGCGGGAGGTGCAGCCCATGGGCCGGCACGAAGTGCCTATCGGGCCGTGCCGGCCCTTCGTGCCGGCCCGATGGCTGCTGGGCCGTGCACAGCCGTGCTTGGGCCGGGCCATGCCGGGCGGGCCCTTTGGCCATCTATACTCAGAGGGACATGTTTAAATCTTTCAAGGTTGTAAATGTAAAAATGGTTAGACTTTAATGAAATTTCCTTTTACCACGTGCCGAGGACCTCGGGTTCTAATCCAAGGAACTCCAGGGACATGTTCACAAATGTCCAATCACCGACATGTGGATCCCCTTATATATAAAATTTCGAGGGCCCCTTTGAATCGCAGGATTGAGAAAACGTAGGAATAGAAAAAAGTAGGATTTTTGATAGGAATGTAAGTGTAAAACAGAGGATTGCAAAACACGGGAATGACCGTTTGATTGAACCGCAGGAAAAACATAGGAATTGGATGAGAGAGATAGACTCAAAGGAAAGTTACCAAGAGGTTCTACCTCATGTTAAATTTCCTCCAAAACTTGCATGGGAAGAGGCATTCCATAGGAATTTTATAGGATTTCATATGATCCATTCTTTTGATTCAAAGAGCTATATAGGAAAAATTCCTATAGGAATGAAATCCTCTAAAATTCCTATGAATTTCCTTTGAATCAAAGGGGGCCTGAAAGTACGAATAAAATTACTAAAACATTCATTAATCAATTGAAAATTATGCAAAATTGTAAAATCCATATAAAATCAACTATAACTCATTTTGAGATGAATCAAATTTATGTAGGTTCATAAATAGATATATTTAATATGGTAAATTAAAATTTGGCACTTGCAGTACAATAAATACCTCTGAAATTTCATATATGAAATAATTAACATAAAGCATGATTTAATTTCTGAAAATTTTAAAAAAATCATTTCATCCCCATTTTGGATGAATAAAATTTCAGTAGGTTCATAAGATTAATATATTCAACAATATAAAATAAAATTTGAACATTCCGTACCTGAAACAGTACTAAAAATTCGTATAGAAAAATAGTAACCACGTCCAACTTCTAAAATTCATAAGAAATTTATCCTAACTCCAAATAAAGTGAACCAAGATATGCTAGATTCACAGAAATGTACCCTTTAACACTGTAAAATGAAATATGGTACTTTTAATATGGAGAACATCTCTAAACTTTTATCTAGTAGAATAAATACTATGGTACAAATGACAAGTTATAAATTTCATATAAAATACATTCTAGCTCCAAATAGATGAAATAGAATTTGATTAGGCTCACAAAATTATACCCTTTATTCATGTCAACTAAAATCTGGAACACCTAGCATATAAAATGCTTCTAAAATTTTGTATAGCAAATAATTAGCCTAATGTACATCATAAGTCATAAAATGAGTGAAAAATTCATATTATCTTCAAAACTTGTTAACTTAGTTTTGTTAGGCTAAGGAAATTATTCTCTTTATTTATAAAAACAGAAAGTGGCACATTCTACACAAAGAAAACATCTAAAACCTTACATAGGAAATTACTAGAGAGAATCTCTTATATGCAACTTTAAATTAACCGGTTCCCTTATATGCCACTTCAAATTGGCTCCTCTCTTCTATGCCACCGGTATAAGTTTGTCCTCCCTTTTATGCCATTGCCATTACTCCACCATCAGTTGACCGTTAACTTCATAGTAAAAAGACGCATTTGCCCTTGAGAGTTGGTATACAACCAATGATAGGTATTTTAGTACTAATATAACTACCGGATACAACTTATGAAAATTGATTTTTTTTTTCAATCACGTGCAATTTTAGCCATCACCATCACAAATAAATTTTCAATATAAGTATGAAACATGCAGCTTTCCAACAATATTTTTAATACAAAGAGCATTTTCCATTGGTTCTGACAAAATTTTGCTCACTCAAAAAGGATTTAAAATAAATTAGTTATGATTTTTTGAAGTTTACATATTTTTTAGTTGAGAGGGCATATTGGTCATTTACGAAAAAAACTAACATTTGACTAACAGTCAACAAACACTATAGTGCTAGGAGTGGCATAAAAGTGTGAAAAAACTTGAACCAGTGGTATATAAGGGAGAAACCAATTTTGAGTGGCATATAAGAGAACTGACCAATTTTGAGTGGCATATAAGGGATTCTCTCAAATTACTAACATAGAACACGCTGCAATTTGTAAAATGCATAAAAAATTCATATGAACTCGAAAAAATTATGAAACCAGTTGGGTTAGTCTTAGAAAACAAACCTCTTCACCACTGCACTACCTAAGGAAATAATACCATAGAACTCGCAATTAGAAAGAGACAAAATAGAAATTACTTGACAAAAAAAACCATCTAAGGACAGTACCTACCCACCGTGCACAAATCATGCATTTTGGATTAATTGTAGTGTGTTAGGATTGTTCATGCTTGCCAGTACATTAATTCGATTAATGTACTGACCTTGTTGTGTATATGTTAAATTCTGTTTTGCAGGTGATAGATTTACTTTAAGTTGATTGTTTGGGAACTATTGCTTGTTTAGGATTGGATTCTAACAGGGGTTTACCCTTAGATGGCTTGCTTGTGGGTTGGGCAGTGAAGCTTCCGCGAATCTGTATTATTCTTGGCCGGCCGACCTATGCTTATGTAATAAGGTTCCAAATTTATTTAAATTTGAGCCTTTATCATTGCTTAGATGAGGTTTAGCAAATTAGTCAAGTTTCGTAAGATGTGTAGCATCTGGTCGTTGCCTTCATGTAATTTAACATGCATGTCTTAGATTGAAGTTGACTGGCTCGCTACTCTCGTCGAATATCTCTCTTGCCCATTACTCGACACTTCAGGTTTTGTATTGTGTGTGTTATTTGGCATGTCACGGCAATGACGAGGTTGGATGTGTACCGTATTATTTGGTTTTTTTACTAAGATCCCATCTAACTAAATATTCCGTGTTGTCATTCCATTTAGCATGTATAATATATAGCCCGGGTGTCCTACACCAGCAGACCGGTGTGACACGGTCCATAACCATAAAATA